GGGAGACTAATCCCCATAGCCTAAGAGAAAAACAGCAGGAGCCTAATAACTCAGCAATTAAACAATTAGCTGCTTGTTCACAGGTGCTCCCTTTCTCCCAGGGCAGGGCTTCATGTGGGTTGCCTTGTCTGGCTGGGCTTGCCTCCTCCCCTCAGTCAAAGGGCTCTGGAAGCCGGAAGCAGCTCCCAACAGCAGCTGTGTTATCTGTTAATTATTTAACCTATATAATTAGAGGAGGTTAAATGAATATTTTAAAAACAATATTTATATACCTATAGCAGAACTCTGAAAAATTAGGAAACAAGGTATCAATTGTGCACAAAATCAGATGGAAAGAAGAATAGGCAGCCTAGTTGCTGGTGACCCATTGCTAAATATGTCATATCTAAATCTAGTAATGCTGAAAACTGAAATTTTGCATGATATATATATATAAGCATGTGTTGCAAGATAGCTGGCAGTACAAATAGACTGGATTACTAGTCTATTAAAAGGATGGAGTTGTCACTTACATTTTATTTCATACAGAAGAGCATATGGCTTGCTGAACTTTCCATAATCCTTTATGAATTATCATATATCCAATGAACAACAATATTTTAATCATCTTTAAAGTGAAAAATTTTATTACGTTTCTACAGTATTGCTGTGCACTAAATTTATTGATTATGGGAAACGGAGAAAGAAAAGTGGCTTATCCAATTCAACTCAAAACAGTACATGTGAGCAGGATTAGAATTTGAATTCCTGGTTCTCACAAGTGCGATCAAAACAGTAGACAACACCTACCTTAAAGTTATGTTTCAGTTCAACTCTAATGACCAGTTTTTGGAGACTAGATTTATGTTATCTTCTAGATAATTAGGAATTGTTCACATTTGAGTCTGACAAAGAGTTCTTTAGTACTTTCTGGCCAGATTTTTACTATCCACTTGGTTGTGTAGTTTAGAGAGCATATAGAAATTGGATAATAATTAAAATCTCAAAGTGCAGTATGTCTACAAAGCATAAAGGTACCTTGCTGTATAGTATTAAAATGCATGTTGTGAGTGTTAATAGTTACAGAAAAAAATACGTATCCTACTTTTGTGTATGTATAATGTTTAAGAGAATATACATTTACCTGTTACTGTGAGACACTGCACATCATTAGGAAAACCTTAAAACCCCAGTATAATCGAACACAAGGGAGTTTTTTAGTTGAAGTCTAGGCATCCTGGCATTGACAAAACAGGTTGTTGCCTACAAAAGTCATGCCTCTGTACCAGTTAGTTTGAAGGTGCCAACCTTCCCTACCTTCTTGCCTGAGAGAACTGAAGAGAGAGGAATGGGAAGGAAGGAAATAGTAAAAGGAATAAGAAGGCCAATTGTGGCTGTAGTAAAAGGAATGCAGTTGACATTTTTAAGACTGATTTAGAAATGAAGCAGCTGGTCAGAGCAACAGATTTTGTGATGTACTGACTGCTGTAGCAAAGATGTGACCAATCTAAGGCTGCAGGGTTGAATTATGGATAGTAGGCTATGTTAAAATAAAGATATTCATCAGAAAAAGACTTAAGGAAGTTGTGACCAGAAGAGAGCAGGGCAGGAGAAAAGCCCTGAGAAGATTGAGCAAGGAGTACTTACCCCAGGTGCCGAGGGAAATGCAGCATGCTGCTGCATTTTTGAAGCATGTGCTCCCTCTGGATTGGTGGAAGAAGCATGAGCATGAGTATTTCCAGCACTGGAGAGGGGTGGCCAGAGGACTGCAGCTGGAAGAAGAGGGAGATGCTGGAGGTGTTCTCTGCTGACTGCATCCTGCAGACAACAGCAGGGACAGCAAGTGAGCCCATGGGGCAAAATGGTCAGAGAGCCACTAACAGAACCTGGGACGTGTGCTGTGCTGGAGAAGTGTTCCAGGACAGCCAGGAGGAGACAGAAGTGACGTAGGTGGAAGCCAGGACTGTGAGTCTTAAAGGGGTCCTGCCCCTTTTTGAGTTTGCCCATTTTCCTTGGGTTTGGGTTTTTTTCTTTTATTCTTTCTGCTTGTGGGATTGGGGGCTCTCACTTTACATACTGGGAAGGCAGCAATAGGGAAAGCTCCTCTCCCCATGAAAACAAGTTGATCCTGACCCTGAAGAGTCAGAGCAGGGTAGAACCCCTAGCAAAAATTGATTTCAAGTTACCTGACCCCTGAATGGGAGGAATTACTTTTGTTCAGTTGCTCCATGAACACTTGGAGGACCGAGGTAATTTGATTGAACCCAGAACCGGGAAGGAATTGAATTGTATTTTGCTTTTTTTCTTTGGATTAATTGATGTGGGGCTGGTTTGATTTGATTAACCCAAGAATCAGAATCAGGGACAAACTGATTCTGATTTATTGTCTAATGGACCCTTAGTAGACCAATTTTTCTTTTATTAGGCTCCAGCTGGCTCCTACCCTGGGGGTCTTTAAGAAGCAGCTTGATGCCTACCTGGCTGGAGTCATTTGAGCCCAGTTTTCTTCCTGCTCAGGCAGGGGGTCGGACCTGAAGATCTACAAGGTCCCTTCCGACCCTACTTCTGTGATTCAATTGAGATTATTTAGCCAAGGAACCAGTGATGAATTGGTCTAAGGCAGGTGTCTCATAATCTAAACTGGCTTACTAACTGATCGGGCCTGGGAGGCTGTATTGAATTGATTTAAGGATGGACGCAGAAATCCCAAATGATGGGGCCTAATTCATAAAACTTATTTAGGGAACAGCAAGTAGTGGCCAGTGGTATCTTTAGCCAACGCAAGATCCAGGCCCTGACATGTCATTCTGGATGTGGTTAGGGTGGAGTGTAAGGGGGAAAAGAAAGGCCATCTGGGAGACCAGGTAGAGTCATCCTCCAGCCTCTAGCCAACTCGCAAGGTTTCAGATAAAGAAACCCATACATCAAGACATGGCAGGAGAGAGAAGTACATCAGAGGTTTGCGGTAACAGGTACATCCAGTTTTCCCCACGGATCTATTCAGTGAAGTGTCAAGCAGGCAGGGACCACAGCTGTAACACCCACCCCCGACAGGATGAATAATCAGACTCTTCAGTTTATTGATGTAATCAGTTCATAATCTAAATTTGTGGCCATGTCCACATCAATATATCCCAATCAAGATGGACATATGTTTTTACAAAGAGGCATGTATGTGTAGACTGTTTCCAGAAGGGAAGTGTGACACTTCCCTTCCTATCACAGGATGGTGGATCATAACTTGGAATCCTCTGAGTTATCTATGTGGAGTTCTTCTGAGTAATTCTTCTCTCCTGTGGGTAAATTTATAGGTGATTATGCTAGGCAACAGAAAAAGCAACATAAGAACTAACAAAAGAAATGTGACTACACTAGCTCATTTGCTAAGGGCAATTTATTCTGTGGAGTATAGCTAAGTATAAAACCTCCATTGCTAATCAGTTTGTAAGAATTTTCAGTGACCTGGGTGAAGGTATCTGCCTCCTTGCAAATATTATACAGTACCATATGTATTGCTTACCTTCAGTGGTACGTACAGCTGAAAGTCTCCTATGGAAATAAGATGATTAATTATAGATTTATTGTATTGGCTTGTTATACAGTAATAACATGCTCACATAATAGAGTAATGAGAGTTATTGTAATATAATAACAAACAGAAAAACGAAATACTAAGCCTTCAGTTCTGAAGCAAAGCTTTCTATTGATTTCACAGGGGAGGTCTGATTTAAACTTGATACATTATGCCTGTAGTTATTGAATATATATTTTTTTAGTTGAATGAGGGTCAGAATGAATATAGCGTTTAAATAAGGACTCTGCAAATTTATGTGGGCCTGTGATCTGCTTTGTTAAGCCACCCACCTTCTCTGTGGATAAAATATTTCATGCTTTTTTACAAGTATCTAGTCTTGTTTGCTTACATTTAAAAGCACTGAAAATGTGATCCTTCTCTGGGCCCTGACAATCATTAAAACTGCTTACAGACGTTTAAAAAAAAATGCAAAAGGGACACACTTTACTGGAAGAAGCAGTGCATTAGTTGAACCTGGATCTGCAGCATCTGTATAAATCGGGTGCTTCAGTGGGACTTGTTGTCACTTTTATCTAATAGCTGATTTAATCAGCTATTAGATGAAAGCACCAAAAAGGCCCCACTAAAGCACCCAATCTATATAGACACTGGGCAAGCTGGGTCCAACTAACATGATTCCTCTCCTGGGCATGCTATAGGGTCAGCACGGAAGCATGCTGAGCTTAAAGTAAAGCACCATTTTTTAAAATGTTTATAGCAGCCTATATTTTGTAGTCGCTAGGGAGAGAAGTTACACACAAACCAGTTTAAGTGATCAGAAACTAGTTTAAACCTGTTACAGAACAGAAGTTCAGCGCACAGAAACCAATTTAAAAATGGCCGAAACTGTGTTAAGATAAATCTGGTTGAATGTAGTATCAGAATTTAATTGATTTAGGTTCAACCAGTTTATGGAACTTCTGTCCCAGACCCCTTCCTGGTTCAAGTTAAATCACCGTCCCCCAGCATCCCAGGTTGCTTTGCAGCCTTGGGCTGAGTTGTGCTGTCTGCTTGAGCAGGACAGGGTTGGCTTTACCCCTCTGCTCTCTAGCCAGAGCAGTGAGGGCTGACTGACAAGGGGGTGAGGGTGAAAAACCTGGCTGGGGATGCAGCAACCCTGTCTGCCTGGTGGGGGAGGAGCAGCCCCTGCCAGATTTTTCTGCCTGCTGAAGTAGAGGGGACAGGGGCATAGGCCCACAAGCTCAGGTGGAGGGGAGGGAGGGGGATTTAAACACCGTCCATGATCCACAGGACCTCAGCCCAGGTCTGCATGGTGGGGCTGCCACCCTTCTTTCCCCCACCATGCTCTGCTCGAGCGGGGACAATGGACAGCCCCTGCCAGGGTTTTTTCCCTCCTTCCCTGTTTGAGCAGAGAGCTTGGCTATGCCCCAGCTGGGGCCAGCAGGGTGAAACAGGGAAGAGGGGTTTAATCCCCCTTCCCTCTCCTCCTCTCCCACTGTCATGGAATCCCAGCTGGGGTCTGCCTGGCAGGGGCGCAGCTACCCCTCTGACTCGTTGCTCGAAGGTGGGGGGTGGAATCCTGACAGGGTTCCCCTCCCTCACCCCCTTTGCCTCAACGTGGCAGCCGGGGGCCAGCATCTGGCCATGCCCCCTGCACTTGAGTGGTGAATGGGGAAAAGCCTGGCAAGGGCTGCTTCCTCCTTCCCCCTCCAGGCGCACCCTGGCTGGGGACTGTGCAGGCCAGGAGGTGGGGGTAGGTTAAACCCTCCCCAATCACACTCAGCGATCTGCCGGGGCCTGGCCATACTCCCCGTCAGCTCAGCTCAGCTCAGCTTCCCTCCAGCCTTCCAACTACTGCCAAAGGAAAGTAAGGGCTTGCTCTAGTGCAACACCCCCCCTCCCCCAGTTTCTGGCTTGAGTCACTGCAGGCATGTGGCTGCATTTCCAGAATCAAAAGTAAACTTCTATTCACTTGCTTCTCGGTTCAATCTATGCAGGTTAGACTAACCTGGAAAGATCAAATTGAATCAGGCTTGGGCTTTTAGAATGTTTGTATTTAGCTGGTATGATCAATGTGTTAATTGAACTACAAAATTTAACATGCCACATGTTCATTTGATTTATAGTATGATAAAAAGGCAAATCAGCCACAAAGATGTTCTGTATAATTAGGGATCTATTTAAAGTGCTTGGAGGCAAAGGAAAAATCATGGGCTCCTGCATGAAAGGCAGTCTTCTCAGCGAATCAGCATCGGAGGGAGGAGTGGATGGCCACCATCTTGGCTGATCTCCCTCATGCCAGTGGCTCCCCACCCCCTCCCCCGATGGGCTGCAAGGCCAGAGCACAGAAGCTGCTAGCTCCCACTGGAGAGCCAGCATTTTATTTTTTCTGATTTTTTTTTGTGCAAAATTGTGGAAACCACTATTTTTAACCTTTTCCACAAAAATCATGAAACTGGGTTGAGTAAGTCCTTATATATTGGGGTAAGCAACTTTTTGGCCAGAGTGCAAATAAACCCTGCAATGTTTACCTTGTAAGGTGCCGGAGTGCTGGTATGCCAGAAAAACAAAGCCAGGACGAGGCGGGGTAGATGGCAGGATGCACTGCATATTGATATAGTTAATAATCATAAATGTTGCTTTTTTTTTTTAATAAATACCAGGTTTTCTAAAAATTCTAAACCTGGTGACAATAACTACAACTTCATATACTACCTTTGTTGTGTATTCTTTTTTTGTTAAGCAAGTTGTGATAGAACAGAAAAAGAGAAGAAAAGAGGTGAGAGAAAGGGGGAAAGAAAGAAGGGAGAGAAAGAAAGAAAAAGAGAAAAGAGGGAAAATAGAAAAAAGGAGAGAAGATGAGAGAAGAGGGGAAAAGAGAAAGAAAAAGAAAAAAGTGAAGAGAAGGAAGGAGAGAAGAGGGAAAGAAAAAAGACAAGAGAAAAAAGGGGAGAGGGAAAAGACTGCCCCATACAGGGGCTCAGTACTCTGCAACTGAATAATGCAACGTGAGAGCAAATGAAAGTAGTGTGGAGTCATTGGCAACTCAAGTGGAGCCTGTAAGTTTGGCAAGTAAGTTATTCATTGTTTTGATTTTTAAAGCAGTTTTCTGGAGTTATGATTTATAATAAACTGAAAAGCCATCTGGTCGGCCAGGAGAAACACCACTGACATATGTAGCCGACTAACTGGGATCTGACAGTTGTCTGATTCAGTCCACTGGTAGCATCATTAGCTTCACTGATGGTTCAACTGCTTGCAGGAGCAAGGATGACATAAGGATGCTTGATAACAAGGCCCTAAAACAGGTCTTATACTCCCAACTCACCAGTTGTCATTGCTCTAGAGGTGGGCACAAGAAGGGATTTTAGAGCACCTTGAAGGTCAATCTGAAGAAATGCAATATTAATATACTTGGGAGATGCAGGTA